GAGGCCTGAAAACTGCAATGGTGAGTTTCAATACTTTGAGCGTACAGTTGTTGGGGGAGGAGTGAGATGGTGTAGCAGGGAAAAGGAGGGTTTGAAGGTACATTGGAAACCATATAACAGACCCGGTAATAACAGGGATCCGATAAAAACAGTTTTTGTTAAAAACTCCTTTTTGTCATACTCTTTGTCTCTATTAAACGTTGTCGGCAATAACATGCCCTCATCGGAGCCCAATAGGTTATAACAGGGACAAAGGCTCGTTAACAGAGTAACGCTGTGATGGAGCAAGCCCACGCAAGCCACGCCACTACAAGCACACGCAGCGGGTGAAGCGAGAGATGTGTCATGCGCAGGCAATGGGAAACTACCCATGAAAAAATACAACTGAATTAGTCCACAAATGCTTTCTTCCCTTGCATTTCTGATTTAACAGGGTCTGATATAACAGGACTTTTTCTCTGGACCCACCATCCCTGTTATATCAGGTTTCCACTTAATGTGTATCAAGGGTTATTATTTTATAACATTTGAATCATGTTATAAAATGGTAGACAGAATGTTACTGTGTACTGACATTTGCTCACTCAAAATATCAAGATAGATAGATAGATAGATAGATAGATAGATAGATAGATAGATAGATAGATAGATAGATAGATCATTGTTGTCGTTGATGGTGGTGGTGCTGCTGCTACTGCTGCTGCCGCTCTTATCCTTCGAGCATAATAATATGGCTTATTGGATCTTACTATCTCACCTAACAAGCTTTGGCGAGAGCGAGCCCACCACCCAGCAGAAAAATGCTGCCCCTGGGTAGCTTGGCCTTCACAGTCATTGTTTTTTTTTCATTTTGTTGTTGTTGTCGTCATTGGTGTTGTTGTTGTTGTTGTTGTTGTTGTTGTTGTTCTTGCTGTTGATGACGTTGTTGATGTTGTTGTTATTGTTGTTGTTGTAGTTGTTATTAATCCTCACATTAGGCCTTATTGTTGTATCTGATCTTATTAATATAGTTACCTCACCTTACAAGCTTTGGCGAGGGCGAACCCACCACCGAGGAGAACAATGATGCCCCAGGGTAGCTTGGCCTGGACTGTCTCCCACGTCAGTAGGGGCGTGTAGCTGTGGGTGGAGCCTGAAGGGTCAGGGGGCGGGGCGTAGCATGTCAGTCAAAGTACTGCTTGAGGTTGAGCTTAGTCTGTTTGTGTGTACGAAAAGGATGGGTGGGG